AGCGCCGGCCGCGTGTCGGACAGCGGCCGCCGAAAGGTCACTCACGGGCCACCGAAGGGCGCGGCCGCCGCGGCCCTTCGTGGGCCTCTTCACAGCTCTGCCCACGACCTCCAGTTGTCGATAGATCCCCGATACGCCAGGCGACGAGGCGATTTATCTATTTCACTCTTCAAGTTAAAACCAATGCTGTTCAATTATACATACAAAACGACCCAATTAGAGCGGTGTATCTCAAGAAGTTTATCGCTTCTTCTATCCGATTTTTCTAATCTCTTCTACCTACTGGCCAATCATAAACTATCTGTCATCTATCTTAGGAGGTGGAAAACATCCATCTCTATGTCGATGTCCAATAAACAGCGTATGTACTATAACATAACCACTGATTTTAACATTCTCTCACAGTTATTTTCACTATTTCGCGCGTTTTAGAACTCTGTTGTACATAATTTCACTTGTGGAATAGACTTATTAAATACCACTCATGCTTTAAAAAGTCTCAGATAAATACCCTGCTCGGGAATTTATCAACAATTTCCAAAGCCTTCATGGTATTGCTTATCATAATTTCCAAAGCTCAAGTGGAATTTAATAGGACTACATCACGAATAAAATTTGAATTTAATAAGGCGAATAATTTATACACATCATGCAAGTTAATCTGATATCTCGACGAAATTTCAAAAAGTTCAGTGATTACATTCATCAATATCTTCTTACTGAATGTGTTGTCCGCCTACAACAATCAAACAAAAATCATAAAAAGATTCGACAATTATCACCTCGCTACTCATCACTCAATGAGTGATAATAACGGACATTTTTGCATGAAGAAGACGTCTGTGATTGGATGGAATGTCCCAATATTTGTACGCTATTTGCTGAAGTTCCATGAACTCCTATCCGGGATCGGAAACATTCGTCTTCGATCAAAAAGTGTTCACAGGTTTCGAACAGGGAGAAAGCTTGATTTGATAATGGCGTGGCAACCAAGATGCGTTCAGCCATTTATTCAGATACAATACGTTGTTTTTGGACGAAAATTGTTGCTTTACCTCGACTCGCCTTCCAACACTTAACCGAATAGTTCGTTTTATCGGATTATTAATTCAAATTCTGTCTCAGTGTCTATGGTTAGGCATTTCTACTAAATAATCCGGATAAAAATAATAACTTCCGTTTATCTCAAGTCAAAAGCACACTAGCTCAATACACTAGCTCAAAATGATCCATCATCATACTATAGTTCTTGAGGTAATATAATACATTATTATAATTATTATCAAGCCAATTTTATAATTATCAAACCCTCAATTACGGACTACGCGTTAGGCGTCTGTTAAATCTAAAATTTGCTTCAGGCTGCAACCAAATTTCTAAGGATTAGATCCAGTGAACATGAGTGCCCCTACAATACATCGCGAAAAAGATGTGCTATCGCACTTCCCAGACCTTTGATTTATTTCCGAATTTTTGACAAATTCTTTGATCAATTTTAAAGAACGAATACCAAAGTTCCGAACACTCGCGTTATGGAAGGCGTATGTTGGTTTCCCTGCGTGCATGGCGTTTAAGCGTTACTGAAAAATGCAAAAATTTTGAGCATTCTTAAAACATCATTGGAAGTCATTTAAAACACTTCCACTCATAAGTGCCTATGTTCACCAAATGTTTACAGAAACAAATTCTAATGTTAACAAAATGTTGGAAATGTCCTTATTAACGCCGTGAAAGATTACATTACAAAAAATTACATTTGTGTAATTTGTGTTTTTTAATAAACAAAACAATACAGCAAAATAATTGTATGTCATCTCAAACAGAGTATTTAACACCATATAGAGGCAAATAAGTTCTCGAGAAACTTCATATGAAAACATTTAAAGCGCACACACTCATTAATGCAATAATGTAATAACTAAGTATTATAGGGAACAAATTTGACTTGAAGCATACATCTTTTTCTTCAATTTTTGTAGTTGTAACCATTTTTTAAAAAAAACGTTGAAAATGGCGTAGGGTCTTCATATAAAGTACTCCTAAATATTAATGATTTTTTTTCAAAAATCTCAGAGTAAAGCGATAGGAATTTATTCGGTTTGGAAAAAATTCTACGTATAGTTTAGGTACTAGAGGTATGAAGGAACGGAGAGACGATCGAACGAAGAAACGGCCAAAGACGGATAATTTGAAAAAAAACACGTTTTGTGTATCAGAGAACCCCAAAACGAATAGTATCGTTGCCATTTCGAAATTGAGTTTCCTCAGCATTACTTAACTTTCTCTATACTACGTATATTACTCCGTATATAATTACGTATACGAGAATGTAATAATTATGTAATGTATTTGTGTTGCGTTCATTTCGTTGTATTCTTTATACTTTCTTGGGCTAGCCAGAATCCGTGTTTTGTAAGTTCTTGATACCAAGTCGATTGTCGGCAAAACATCTGTCCGCCTGCCGTCTGACCGTCTGCCGTCTGTTTGTCTGCCGTCTGTCCATCTGCCATCAACACTAGCGCCTAACTCCTTCAGGTTACTTTCTCCAAAATTGTTATTCCTCAAAAGCTCTGAGATTTGAGAGGTCAAAGGGAGGTTTCAAGTTTTGACAGTACTTATATTAATTAATATATTAATTTGTCTTAATGTTATAATAGTAATTTATTGTACCCTGTAGAACTTCATTGAAATCTACTATCGGTTATTAAACTTTACGTAGAAAAACAAATGTATCTATGTAACGATCACTGTCGGTACCACCTGTGCTTACGACCCACATCCAGATAATCTGGATTTCTAAACACGCATTTAACACGTTTCTCTGCCTGCTTGGTTAAAATATTCTGGTCAGCGCGGCCAGCAACATCTACAAGTAAATCTTGCCTACTGGTCCCCTACAGCGGGTCGGTTCGTTCCATGCTATCTTATTATCTGATCGGATGAGTCGCTCGAACAAAATGTATCTACTGCTTTACAATGTCGTACAGGGTAGTGTCAGCGCATAATTTTAAAGAAGACGCATTTTTATTTGTTTGTGTTGTTTTCATACTTGTTATACTCTACTAATGAAGCTGATGGACAAATAGCTCCATATAATATGGTTTATAACAATAAATGCAATTATAATATCTAAAACATTGTTTTCTGCCAATCACTTGGCATCCAATGACTTGTCACCATTAGTTCTTGCTTGAATAAATTGTCATTGCTATTATTAGAATTGCTGTTAGAGTTATGATAAATGGTATAATACATTAGCTCTTTTGCATTGGATAAGATTGTAATGTATAATATTGAAAATAACTATAGTCTTACGAATGACCACAAATTTAAGACTAAACTTTTGCTGTTAACTTTACTTGTAAATAATTTTCCGTGTATTGGTTGTTGTATGGCAAACTTTTATCTTGATTCATAAAGTTTCTATTAGTTCTTAATTGTTCATTTTAACCTTTTCAGACCCAAGAGTAATATTTTTTGTTAAGTACCTATTGTTTGGAGAAAACATTTTTGTTGAAATGTGTATTGATAACTTATTTTCAAAATATACAAGTAATGTTTAGCAAATTCACTTGTAGAGAACTGATGGAGCACATTTGTGCACCTTGTGTTCGTGAAGTTAAAGTATTATTGACAAATAGTTTCTTAGAAAAACAATATATAAGCAAAGAGTATCGTACTTTTTATTGAAACTGTTATACAAATGAAACGAGGTTAGAGGAAAAAAGCGGACAAAGCCAATTAGCCGCACGCATTTCGCACCACGGAAGCATTGCCGCTGTTGCAGCGCCCGTTGCGAAAGGGACTTGCGCACAGGGCCTCGCGGCGCGTGGAATCGCTGCTCTTCACTTAAGGCGAGAGCGTGGCCGAAGCTTCCCTGTTTCTCCCATTAGCGCGTGCGCCACCCGCAGCCGAGAGGGCGGCGCGGCCGAGGGCCCTCGAAGGCGACACCGGCGCTCCGGAGCCCGGGCGACGCGCCGCACACGTCCGCGCGCCCACGCGTTTTCATGTACGTAATACGCAGAAATATAAGTCATAGAGAGAAAGTTATGTAGCGCTGCGGAACATCGATTTCGAGATTTCAACGTCGATACGCATTTCGAGGTTCCCAGATTCCTTTTTTTTAATGTATTGTTTTTTAACGTTTGTCCGCTCGTTTGTCTGTGAACAACACTAGCGCATAAAATGTTCGTCCTTTTTTTTAAAATAAATATTCCCCCACTTGATCTGGCTCTGGTCAAAGATCTGCGATTTTGAAAAACATTGTTTAATATTTCGGAAAAAATAACCAATGGGTAACTTTGTTCATTTTATTTAATTTGTTATTGTTATTCATTTGTTGTAGTATTTACTTATTATTTCATGTTTCCCCCACAGAAGTCCTTCATCCTATTCAACTTCTCTCCTCTTCTTTCAGCAGCCCATTCTCCTCTCTTCTTTTCGCCTACAAGAAATTTGAGGTCAAAATTATTGTTTGTATAGTTTTTTCGATTTAGACAGTCTTGTCCAGTTATTTTCAATTTAGGGATTTCTTCCTTCATTCGTTTGACATAGCTTCCTTGGCCTTTGTAATTCAGGGTTTTATCAACAATTTGTTTGTTTAATCTTGGTTGGTCCGTCCGGCCATAAACCATAGAATTGTGGACGTTCTTTCCTAACCATCACTTCTAGGTTTTTTGTTGTACTATAAATTTCTGAATTAGATCTCAATCTATAACTTTCCTGTGTTTTTCTTGGACCATAAATCCGTCTTAAAATTTTTCTCTCTGTCTTCAGCAAAATTTTTCCTTACCAATTTTGTTTGTAGTTTCTATGCCGTGCAAGATGGCTGGTCTCACAACTGTACTATAATGTCGTAATTTTGAATTATAGGGTCTC